AACCAATGGCGAAAAGAACTCAACAACTGAGAGATTAGGAAATAAGTAAGATTGATTGGGAGTTCTTTTTTTTTTTGAAAAGATGTTTACGCAATTACACATGATGAATGAACAGTTTGCCATGATGAAAATCTATCAACAGCATTAATTTGATTATCACTAACAGTCATTACTTCTTTTAAAGAAATAAATGCTTACCGCTACGTCAAAATAAAAGCAAACCCTAAAAGTTATAGAGGTCTTTTAACTCCCTTACTTATGTAATCTGTAACAAAATTTTCACCTCTTCGACGTATATATAAATACAAAGTTTCTTTTGTTTGTTATTTAATAAGCTAAAAGGCCTCATGAAACATTTTTTCTCTAGCTTACAAACGCAATTATATTTGTGCTCATTTTTCTTCTTTCTCAACGAATCTCCGTTACAATAAAGTATAAGTCAATAATGAAAAAGTGTGAGTGCTGAAACTTACATTTGACCAACTTCCCTTCGATTTCAAAAAGTCCTTGAATAATTTGAAGATGCCTCTATCCAACTTTTTAACTCTTCTTTTAATATACTTCAATGGTTCACAAAGTCTTCGCTATAATAATGATACCCACTTTCAAATATCGACCATTAATATCTCCTTCCAAGTGTACTCCAAAATGTAATAAAGGACCGAACAAATCGAAATATAATATGTAAATATGAATCCACTTTTTTCCGCTGAAATCTTTCTCGTTTCGATAAAGCATTTAAAAGATAAGCTAGTTTCAACTCGGCATGTTCCAAAATATCATATACACTTTTCTATGTATTGCTTCTCGTAACATGCCTTACTTTCCTTTCGTATTCATATTTCATTATTTTTGTGTTAGTTTTTTCTTTCGTATTCGATTATTTCTGTGCTAGTTGAACACTGTAAGAAAATAAAACAGCTTTTCAACTTTCATAACCACAGTATTACTTGAAAGAATTCTACTGGCACCAATTCAATAGGCATTTTACCCATCGCTTTTGATGCCGAAGCCATAAATTACGTCATAAAGCAAACTAAGATCCAACGAACCACAAACCGTATTATTCTTCAGTAAACAATAACCGAAATCATTAATGACATAATGTAACTAACGTTAAATACTCAATGGAACTATGAATAAAGCAATATGAGCGTAGTTTTGCATGAAACAGAACCAGTCTAAAAGTGAACTTGAATAATGCCAATTAAATATTAGCTGAAACAATATCGATTCAATGTAAATTTCCATTATGAAAAAGAATTTAAAGAAATTTAACCTTTAAATGAGTCAGTTGCAGCAAGCATCCTAAATTCGTTTTTGGCATGCCCACAGTGAGAAACGGAAATCTGCTGCCAGGGAAATCCAATAAATTCCCAAAACAAACTTCTACTATTTTCAACCTTCCTTAAACGTCTGATTCCCACAAACTGTAAAAATTCTCTTTTTTTAATAAATATTAATAATAGTATACACCATAGATATTAATACTAATGCACATTCTTAACAATATATTAATAATCGTTACACGTATCTATCACTCTAAACTGTTACAATATGCATGCTATAATCAAGATTTGCACGAATTTTGAATTGTTTGACTTTCCATTTGCTTTAAATTATTTCACTATACACTTACGATCTCTTATTATATCCTACTATAATTTATTCATTTCATTAGAATCATTACGCAGTTTATCATTCACAAAATAAGATACAACATTATTTTTCTTTATTAAAAAAATTTTCACTATTGCTGATAAAGTGTTTTATGCAAAATAATTCTCTACAGTAATGTGTGCATCAAAAAGATTATTAATAAAATTGTCCGAAAAATTCATCTCGATTTTATCATTATTTAATTGCATAAGATAAAATAATACGAAGAAAATTTATCTAACATTACCGAAAGAAAATTTATCTAACATTCACTAAAGACTGAAAAAAGTCCAACATATCGCAATTCTTCCCATGAAATTCCACCCCATGTTTAAGCCGAAGAAAGATACCAATAAGGTAGGTAGAATCTATCAACTCTTACTTTAATTAACTTGTGGGATGTTTTTTTTGCAAGATGCGGCCGTAACAAATGCGGTTATAACGTGTTGTTTTTCCGATTCGATTTAGCGTATCTGGAACGTTGGTTGGGTGGGGTCAAGGGTCAAGTTGTGTTTGGCTGGAATAAGAGGTGTGTTGTTCGGTTATTTCAGTAAGAAGCAAGGCATTGTTTGGATTTTTGCGATGGTATACATGGAAATGTGCAAGGATAGAGAATAAGATGGGTATGGAGAATCACGTGATCATATGGATATATCCAGAATCACGTGATCATATGGAATACTCTCCAGTTTCTTTTTTTTTTCTTTTAATATTTAAAAGTGCAACATTAGAGTTATTGTCGCCGTCTTTGGTGGCCTTTCCACAATGTTCATTTTACGTTTTCTACGATGCATATTTTGCAGCGTGAATTATATGGAACATAGTCATCCAGAAAAACAAGTGTTTCCCACAGATATGTTATTTATTATTTGATTCTGATGGTTATAGTTTGCAAATGTGATAGTATTTTCCTGATATACTTGAAAGCTACTGGTAATCGGCACAGCAGTATTTTTCATCTATGAGCTAGCATTCCTTTTCGAACTTTTTGAGTGAGACCTGTTAGAAACTGATAAAATATTTGTTCGAGGATAAGTGAATATATAACTGAGGTATTTAACCTAAATGCTTGTTTATCATTATTAATCATTACAATTAACTGTGTGGTTAATTTACACGCAGTAGTAGGATCGTATCATATATATGTTCGAGTTATGCTTAGTTCAAAGCTAAACTTGTAAATGAGATTTTAAGACGTCATGAAAATGACAGCTCAATAAATTTTCTAAGCACGTAGCATACTGTCGTCTTACATGTACTTCTTTTTCCTTAAATAATGGCTTTCCTGAATCGTTAGAACTCATTTCTTAATGCCTTGAAAAGTGTTATATAATTTACTAAGAAACGAAATAAATCTTGGTGCTGTCAAATTATAAAAGCCTTGAAATAATTTCGATAATTTTGTAATAAATGTTAGTGAATCATCCATAGTTTCATAGTTTCTGTACATTTTGTTCCGGTTATTGTAATTCTTGAGTCATCGTACTTCGTGAATAGCGTTATTTTACTTTAAGAAAAGATAATTAAATGAAAAGTGTTGTTAGACAACCGTCATATATTACAAAATGAAGGTTTTGTCGGAAATGTTAAGTTTTTGCATTATAAGATTCCTTTAGATGAAATCTAACAAGTTTAAAGGATGGCAGAATTATGTGAAAGGCTTTAGATGAGTAGCATGAGATTACTGAAAATTTGAAATTATCTAATTTTTGAGAAATAAGCGTAAAGAGTTGAATTGAAGACAAAATGGTTGGTGTGAATGATCGACTTGATAATTTAGTGAATTGGGGAAGTGTTTTTGTTTTCTTACGTTTGTTATAGTGATTCGTATGGAAGGGAGGGGTTAGGATTTTATTTTATGGGTGGGATGAATAGGTGATGATGTTTCCTATTTCTAAAAATGTAAAGGGTCATTCCAAGAAATGAGAGAGATATGTTAAAAGATTTAAAGGTTTTTTGAAAAATGATGTAAATTATGTGTATCTTGGCATGTCAGTTTCTTTTTCAATCCTTTTTACATTGATTTTTAGTTTAAATCAATTTTGAAGTTGATAGGGACCGTATAGGAATATTTCCTGAACCGGAAACAAGAGTTTGTACGAATAAAACCACCCATTTATTCCATTATGATATATCACTTTTTGACAAATAGCACACGCCTGTAGCTGTGAGAAATATGACTGTGCACGGATTTTATGCATTAGAAAGGAAGAGGTTGTCATTACAGCATACCGTTTATAATTCAGCCGTTGGTTCAAGCATTTGTCATTTGGTTGATTTAAAACAGTATGTTGGAATTTAGTCGTTGATTTTGCCGGATGTTGGGGTTTCCAATCGCTGCTGAAAATAACACATCACTCGGGAGCATTGGAATGCTTTGTAATATTACATATCATCGTCGTTTTGGTGCAACCTAACTGCAATGGGGTGTAACGCTATGGTTTGTCTGGTGTCTGCGTCTGTGTGTATTTTATACATGTATGTATCATGTATGTATGTGTGTGTGTATCTGATCGAGCGTATTTGTCCGTATTCCCGTCTGTAACAGATAGCAAAACGGGGGAAGTTGGGAGGGGAGAGCTGTCTGCTCGGAAGTTGATGTAAATTCAATTAATCAAAGCAAATAGTTTTATCAAAAAGGAAGGATGAAATCCAATCAAATAATCCAATTCGTAAGAATTGAGGAAACGTTTACTAAAAGAATGCATAGCAAATTGATAGGAAATGCATAATAAAGAATTGTGGGATTGAAATAAATGAATGAAAAGAAGTGATCACTATAAGATGACCTGATTACATGAGATGGAACTGTGAAACTTGCATAATTTTTGTGAGGTTTAGCTAACGATGTCGATTTTTCGAGTGATGTTTAGTATTATGATATTGTTTACAAATACCATTATTGCTATAAGAAAATGTCACCTTTCTCTCCTTTTTTCCTTCCTTCCACACTTTCTTCTCTCCTTTCTTTCTGCATTTAGCCAACTGTTGGTTATTGATTGCTAGCTTGTTGAATGGATTAAACATATCTTCCTTTATGTTATTATGGTTTATTCAATTGGTGAGATTTAAATCACTAAGTAAATACAATATTATTGTTACTGTAAAGGATAGGTTTTGCTAGTACTTTCCAGACTTTTGCAGCAATCATAAATGTAATAAATGGATTTTAATTCTTATGAAACGATCAGATTAAATATTTAATAGGAGCATGATCTGTCTATATTTCTGGATGGTTAAGCATGCATGTGCGCGTGTTTGTATGTGTACGTGTGTTGTAACAGCACAAACGCGCCGTGCATAATATGTGTTGGTCAGTGTTAAGGCGAAATTAAGGCGAAATGCGATGGTTATATGAGAATTCAGCAAAATTCTACGTCAGACAGAGAAGGATTGAAGAATATTTTATAAGTCAGTTCCGGTTTCCAGTTTAATTCCTTCATGTTTTTCCAGTGAGTGAAGTTTCAGCGTACACGTGGTTTCGTCTCATCTTCAGCCGTTTTCATTAGTAAGTCCCATTAAAATATTGTATTTTAGTGCTTAAGTAACCCGATCGATTTCTTTCATAACACTCCTTATCTCTAAATATCCTTAATTTACTTCAGCATAAAGGATTGATGAAATCAGGAATGTAGCAGAAAGTGAAGTGGCAGCATTCACTTCAGTGAAATTAATGTTGTGGCTGTAGTTATACCTAACAAGAACTTGTAGGGAGGTAGGAGAGAAATGTTGTCATTACTTTTCACTGTCAAAATTTTGTTAAAAGAGTAAGTAAGCCATCAAGTCATGTTTCACTTGTCGAAAGAATGTCTGTACGATATATATACAAAATTGTAATGTCAAAAATACTTGTGATGCATTGATGTACGAATGAAAATGAATGAAGACGAGACATTCATCACTATCTCACTAGTCAAGCAGTGAAAGGTCGTTAGTATTGATGGAGAGGTTAAAAATCGAGGCGCTCTTTTTCAATGAAATATGGAAGCAAATAAGCGGCTGTAGTAATAATTTCCTTATTATTATTATTAGCTCTGGTCTAAGGAATAGGAGAGGGAAAGAAAGCCGACTTTAGGTTTTATTAATATCTTTCGTTTCACCTGATCGATATTGCACTTTTTTCAGATTTGACTTTCCTCTCCCCTTCTGGTCCTCCTTCTCTCTGCTATTTTCTTAGTTATCGGAATCATTCTGTGGAGTTCATTTTCCCAAAATTTCCAGAACCCCAGTTGTATCATCACAGTGTGAAAGGAACAAGAGCAGCTAGTACATTAGGGGAGCAGTATGTAGATACAGATGATGTGCAGGAAGAGAAAGAAGCAATACAGTACGAAGGTAGGATGTAGTTTGATATTGCAAATAAAGTTTTGGATAGCTAACAAAAGTGGAGAGATAAGTAGATGGATGGGTAGCGTAGTACCTATGGGTCATATATACTCTTATAACTGCGGCGGTAGTGGTGCTAGTAGTAGTTGTTGTAGTAATAGTGGTTGTAACAATAATTTATCTACGACGAAAAGCATTTGAAAGAGGACATTAGTAAGCTCGTCAACATTTATGGCTACGCAAGAATAGTAGACTTTAGAAAGTAGATGGGAGAGAAGGGGTTTGGGAAAGCATGAGGGGAGGGTGAACATGGGGAAGAAAGGGGTGTTGATTTCGGGTTAGTTGGACGAGGAGAGCGTAAACTAGACGATATCAGGACCGCCTTGCAAACAACTCTTCCAATAATTTTGTTCATTCGTATTCTTTCTGTCCTTGTCTTTCTCCATCAACCGTTGTTTGGTTTATGTATGTATGTGTGTATGTATTGCAGTAGTGCTGATGGCAAGTCATCAGGCAGCAACAGCGGACGACAACAGCAGCAGTTGGAGCAGCACGGCACACAGTAATGCATTTTGCATGTTGTGTGTATGGTTGCCCGATAGCATGATAGCCCAATGTGTCGAAGTTTTCGTGCAGTCGATAAGTCACCATTCCCGAGCTTGTACATTAAGAGCAGTAATTGAGCAAGCATCTAATAGCTGTTAGTGGTAGAAATAATAAAATAGTAATTAATTAGGTATATTAGTGAGATTATTGTACTTGTGGTAGCGGTAACAGTAACCTTTCACAATTTTGTCTTCTGGGAAGCTTCATGAGGAATTTATGATTAAAGCAGTAGTGTTGAAACATTATGATTTCGTATAGTTGTCATCCCTAAGCAAGTAACATTTAGCAATCGATCAGACCGGTTGAATAACTCTAGTTTTCGTCCTCTCACTCCTGTGTTGCTGGTTATATGCTGGATGAATGCCTTCCTTCATCACTGGATGATTTGGCGTGCTTGCGACAGTTCGAGTCGTCTAATATATTTCGGATTTCGACTATTTCCATTGACTGATGCAATTTAATAGAAATCAATTTTTTCTGGATTATTTTTGCCCTGAAAGACTTCAAAGCAATATCAGGATGTATTAACAAAAGAAAGAGAGAAAAAAAAGTTGGTGGGGGCAGTAGGCCTTCACCATGATCTACAGAATGCTATCATTTTGAGTCTGAGATCATTGTGAAAGCTATTTGCCTTCTACCGTCTCCAAACATGCATGCGTAGTCTGCAGGCTTTAAAACTTCAGTTTTCCGTAATTTTATACTTCTTGTTGAAGTGCTACATACTCGTATCTTTTTCTCACTTTAATAGGTTTAGTTATAACAGTAATCATGGGTGGAATAGCTTTATAGATATTCCAGTTATTTCGGGTATGAAGACGTTGCAGTTTATTGGGTAACAAAACTGAAGTTTCATCCGTTTTGATGTGTTATGAGTGGTTGATGACGCATGAGTATTACAAATTGGTGTGAAATCTGGAGTATTTCTTTAAATATTTAGAGAGAAGAAGCATAATGGTGGACGTAGTTGCCGGACGTATTAATCGTGTGCTGGAAACGCTTGAATCCTTCAGAAGCCAGTGGACACCAGCTGTAGCACGGCAGATCGATCTAGTACGTCGTGTTTATAATGAGTTATTGATTGACGATGATCCAGAAGCGGAGCTGTCGGTAACTGCAGAAGTGGTACTTGCACAGGCTATGGAAAAATTGGGAGACATGCTGCAAGAGGTAAATAATTGGTGGACTAAATTGTTTCTTTCTTTTTTTTTTTTTTTTTGATATTTTGTCAACTTATTCTTAAAAATTGGGAAAATTTATGTTATTCAGGAGCATGAAAGTGGTTTTTTTCGGGATTTGTTTTGACATTTCTAAAAAATCATACAAAACTCGAGAAGTTCGGAAAGTTGATGTATGTAATAATTTTTCTGGAATAAAGGTTCGATTTAATTTGAGATGGCGCATCAACACCGGAGTACTCATCAAATGTTGTCAAAGATTGGCAAAGCTATCGACAGATATTTTGTCACGGATCTTAGTTCTTTAACGAAAATTGATAAGAATATTGATACAGATCCAAGACTGCATGGAAGAGTCAACGCTCTCATTACTAATCATTTGACGAGTACCGGAAAATTCGATGTTGCGGATATTCTGACGAAAGTAATCTAATTTCAACAGTTGTTTATTCTTGAAGACAATTAGTTAAGGGTGCCGAACTTAGCATTCGGAGTGTTTTAGGAGGCACAACTGCCAGCATCGGAAGGTTTGGAATTCAATGTGGATGATATCCGACATTTAATGGAAGCGTTCCAGAAAAGAGATATTACTCCCGCACTCCAGTGGCTCAAGCAAAATGCTTCGCGAGATGAACAACTGATTTATGATCTTCAAAAACAACATTTTGTCAAACTTCTGGAAGATGGTATAACATTTACAACTTTGAACTAAAGAGGGAAGAGCTGTATTTGAAGAAATCGTTTATTTGCATTTCCAGGGCAAACTATGGAGGCTTTGCAGTACAGTCACCATCTTTCGAAAAATCCAGACGAGATGATACAATTGCTGTGGGCAATTGTTGCCAAAGATCGTAAGACGCGTTATCCTGATCTTTTCAATCCCGTTGTTTGGCAGCAACTCGAATTGCGTCTTGCTCGAGTTATGTCTCGATCAGAAAATTATCTCAGTCAAATGTATGTGAATCTCACACTATATATCTACACATTTTAGTTGCAGCGAACCTGACACTCTAGTTAATCATTTTCAGTTTTTTGACATGATCTTATAGAATTGTAGCATCATTTCAAAACTTCTAATATTCTTTAAATTCAGACGTGTTATCGTAGTCACACTCACTCCATATTATTCACATGTTGAAAAAAGTGATTATTTCCATGGTGCCACTTGATTTTATTCAGATTTTCCAAAACTCATGTTTTGTAATAGCGTTAGCATACGAGCAAATCAGCAAATTTTGCTTTTCATCCACATGTAACTAGATTTATCCACTAAGAGATCTGAATATTTTCCTGGATTTGGAAAATCACTGTAATGTACTAGGGGCATTGCTTTTATGTTTACTTCAGTCTTGAACTTGGCATCAAGATGGTACCATCACTCATTAGTCTTCGTCAGCTAATGATAAATCGATCACTGGAATCTCTTTTTCAAGGTGATGAATTGCCCATTGAAGTGGATGTGCCGAATGCCGCCCATTCTGTGTTCGCTTGCCCAATTCTTAAGGTTCTTTTTGTTTAATAGAAGGGCTGTTGCATTCATTTGACTCTCAATTTTGTAACTTTGATTCCCAAATGTATTTTCAATATTTTGGATGCTTGGAATTTCGAGAATTTTCGTGCAGTTAATCACTTTTGTACAGCACTTTTTATGTATGCAGGCACAGTGCACGGAACAAAATCCTCCTATGCGTCTCACATGTGGTCATGTAATTTCTCGAGAAGCACTTCATAAATTAGCCCAAACAGGACGTTTCGTTGCACCGACCAATTTGGCTCCTTCCAATGCTTTCAGTCATATTCGTTTGAAGTGTCCGTACTGTCCAGTGGAATCATCAGTAGCTGATGCTAAGAGAGTATATTTCTAATATCTCCTATCAAATATATGTAATTTTTTATACATATGTTCTGTGTATACATTTATTGATTGTTTACAGTTTACATGTATTGCTTGTTTACAGTTACCAACTAATTTGTGCCATTTCCCGGCATTCATTACACAGTCGGTCGTTTCAAGGTGAAAATATTGCTATGAGATTATCACCATCTTTGCTTTGCTGTCACCCTGCTGCACCCTACACAAAGATTATCGATGCTGATAAAGGTTTTCCGGGATAGGTAGTACAGTTCAAGTTAACAATACCATTGCTAAACTATTGTAAAGTGCCCTTGCATGTACAACTTTGTCCCCTCCGCAATGTCCGTCTCCCTGACATATGTTTGGAATGTCCCCCTCGATTCTATTATCTTTTCAGTGATTACGCCTTGCTGTATTTTATTATTGTAAACACCATTTGTCTTATGGGCTATCGTCAACCTTGAAACTATTAACGAAATTTAACTTGTATATCATTTTCCTGAATTCTTATTCGGGACAGTGAGTGGAGTTGTTTGTTTCAGAGTATGTCTCTTCTTGGTGCAATTTTCATAACGTCCTGATGAAGATTTGAGTATTTTGAAAGATTGATGCCAAATTGCGTGTTTATCAACAACTACACATTATGTGTATTGATTACTAGATCATGTCCGAGTTTCTACTTATATCTATATGATAGATACGCTGACTTCAACCCACTTTAACTAATTGTTGGTTTTTTCACTAATTAAGCTATGCATACTTTATGCTCTTATGGAAATGTCTCTTTTGTCTTTGTCTTGTCGGTCTTGATTTGTTTTTCAACGTGGGAGTTATGAAGGAATGATGCTTTTAAACAGAAGTTCTGGCTAATGAATAAGAATCTGAAAGAATACAAGCACATTGAGCACTTTCAATGTCGCATAGAGATTCAAAGAGCAAGTTATTTGCATAGCTACTTGTGATTGTCGTATCATTCTACAGCCTGTTACCATTTAATCCGACTCAGCATCTTTTGCGCTGATAAAAAATATAAAATCCAAGCAATGCCAAAAATCGCACCTCCATTATGAGGACTAACGTATTCTATGTGTGGTTTTTTTTTTTTTTTTTTTATCGCCTTGAATTAATTTATATATACTTCAACAGAAGCTGGAATGTGCCGGACCAGTACCTCTTTGCTAAATAGACGAACAGTGATACTTAGCAAGAGAAACTCAACTTTTTTTTACATGGAGTAGCAGTGCTTACTAGCAATCCTAGAAAGTTCGCGTTTCCCACCAAATTCAGTGAAAAATTGAAACCCTTCTAGGTGGCGCATGATTCCAGAACCTTAAATCATTAATTGCTAAGACTTCACTTGACCTCCTCTAATGTACCCTTCGATACCTCATTTGACTGAGAAAAACTGTTCGTTGCTATACGTTGCATTAGAATTGAAGAAATCAAAAAAAATATAATGATTTATTGTGCATTTTTCAAAGCAAAAATTATAAGAAAAATTAACTTCAAATTTCTCTGCGAAAGTTTCGAGTCGACAAACAACTTAAATAAATTAAAATTTAAAAAAATCCATACAAAGTTTGTTTCAAGCTATAAAGACACAAAAAAAAAGTTAAAGCATTATCCAATATCGCTACATTGGCGAATTATGCAATACAGCAATTCAAACAGCGGTTTAGAGCAGTGATTCGACAAATTTCGAACAGATGATGGACAGTATACATGATAATAAAAATATCAGATACCATCATTTCAAACAAATTAAATGGGAAAAAAACAGAATAAAATTAAACCGTATGCAAGAAGAGATACCATAAAACGTAAACGAAATCAAAACTGAAAAAAAAAAAAAAAAAAAAAAGATTCATTGGTTTTTCCAAGCGTATAATGCGCTGCTAAAGCTTTAAACTGCAACCAATATCGGTCATAATAAATAAAATTGCCATAAACAACAACAACAACACTGGAATTAGACAAGAGATAATTCTGGATGATAATATTATATGGATAATAAACTTCGTATGCTGAATGGATGCATTTATCACAAACACACACAAATAAACGTCGTATCCAAATCCCAGAATATGTAAATCAGTACCATTAAAATTATCCATCCCCAAACATATTTAACACATACATACACCTAATACAATTGCACTGATGACGGAACAAATGGAAGGATTCCATGAAGGATACCAATAATAAAATATTTGAAAAAAAAGACTAAAAAGCTCGTGGTATATTTGTCACGAATGCAATAACATGGAAATATCTAAAGCAATACGTTAACTGAGGCTTTCAGATAATAAATTGATGATAATCGTCACTTTCTCTTATCCTCGGAAGTCGGAAACATTTCCACACATATATACTTTAGTCAACTAAATGTTGTTGTCGCTATTTTGTGCAACGCAACGAACAACTTTATGAACTTAAGCTTCGTATATTGTCAATCTGGTATTCTAAACCAATCAATTAATAACTTGAACTGACTTCCGTCAAGCTCAATTATCATCTTTCATGTGTCAAAAAAGAAAAAAAAAAAAAAACGTTTCAGAAACAAATGCTAAAATAGTTTCAGTTTAAAATTTTAAATTCCCAGTTCCAAACATCC